AATTTCTTGAAGCGTGTAATTTCTTTTGAGTGTTACGTGCGTATTTGTATTTTTTGACACCTAAAATTTTTTACAACATATCTTAAGTTACATTTAAATACAACATTTTAACAGTTTAAAACGCGATATGTATAAGTTTACTTCGGTTTAAAACAGCCATGGTTTTAAATTGTTAAAAGGTTTTTTTTGTAAGTTACACTGAAAAGCATGATAGTATAAAAATAGATAAAGTACTGTCAAATATATTTCAATGTTAGAGCGGTTGAGGAAATACTTTTTAAATTTGGCGAGCAGGTTGAAAATTTTTTTTTAACGGTTTGAACGCGAAATATGTGCGGTTATACTTACATACAATTTGACACTTCGGACTACATTGTTTTGCGTATAAACTGTTTCACTGGCGAAAAAGACAAATTATACAATTACATATGAAGTCATTTCTAAAGATGAAGCGTAACTAATAATTAAAAAATATATTTAAGAAAAAATATTATTATTATTAAAACATTTTTATATAGTACTCTTGTACTTCCAAAAAACGTAGCGCAGCGCTAACAGATACCGGTAAACGGAATATTTAAAAGTTTTGAACTTTTCAAGAGAATTCCTGACTCGGCATTTTTCGGTAATCGTGTCACGTAGGAATTTTTCGTACGTAACCAAGTTAAAATTTCGTCGGTTAGGTTTACAACCACATTTAAATTCTTTTATTTATAGAACTAATAATCTTTTTCTACTGTAAGCTCAAGAAGCAGAGCATAGAACGATCGCAACTGTTTACGAAAAGTATTAAATATAAGACTTTGTCTGGATACCTCGATATTAAATGGTTGGTAGGAATATATAAAATTCCGTCCACGTTACAACCTACCGTTCACAGATGGAAACGCCCTTTCAAGTTTAATCATGTTTCTCTTTCAGTCTGTGGATTTCCGAATATCCAAAGTAATATGGCTATATTTCACATTCCATTAAGTAAACCCTATGCTTGTCTGTTCTTCTCTATCATTAAAAAAAATCGAATAAAGACAGAGTTAATGCACCAATTTTATAATAATTATAAGGGTTTCATGATTACCTTATCTATTAGTATATATATGATAGAGCGAAAAATATGCTATTCTGTCGTTTTCTAACCGAAAAATAAAGAAGTGAAAAAAACGCTTTTAACAAATCTAGTTCATTCGTATCACACAAAGGATCCGTTCGTTCGGACGAATGTCGTTTTACCTTAACAGGAGACAATAAGAGAGAAATTTATTAGAATCCATTAATTAAATCCCGAACTCGTGGCAGACTAATGTGTGAAACTAGTCTTATGGAAAAGCTAGATCACAGCTAGATTTGGTCAAGTGCGAAACGTAGGAAAATTTAGTAAGTTAGGTACAAAGAGTAAGTACTCTTTACGCAGTTGTCGCCAGTTGGACATTCTCAACGACAAGACATCTCATTTTTTGTAAAAAGTATACTAAACCTTTTAAACAGAACACTTTATCGGTTGAAAATGCGACATATATTGGTTAAACTTATTTGATAATTGTTTTAACTACGGCCCGACGTTTCGGATGCTTTACAGCAGCCATTGTCACGGGGAGTCCATGGCTGATCACCCAAACCAGACTTATATAATTAACTTTAATAGAATGTAACTGGTGGAAAGACTTCTGAGCATGCTTTTATTTTTTTTTAATCTTTAGTTTTATTTTTCGGCTTAATCCCCACTTTATAAGTGTACCTAATGTGTAATGGTTTCTAGTGGTAATCGGTTTTCTTAATACTATGCCATTAAAAAGGTTTCATTGGTCCCAGCGTGTTACTCTTTAGGTCCCCTTCAGGCCAATATCCCTGAAAGGTTTAACGAAAGCTCCATCGATAAATTACATTTGCAAAGTTCTGTACCGTGTCCCAGCTAGAAGGCTAATTATTTCAGCTTAGGATTAAAACTAACCTACTTAGCTTCTAATGTCAGAATCAGATGTTTAGACTTACAACAGTACCATTTTACAATTACCACAGTTGAACAGGACCCCTGGCTTTGCAAAATGGGCACAAAAGTTGTATAGCAAATACATTTAAAGAATTGTTATAAGTCATGTAATAATAATTACATTATAAGACAAAAAGACTTCAAGCGATTTATTTTTTATTATATAAATATTTCATACTTAAAAAGCGACTTGTCTTATTTAAGTACGGATAAGTTAATCAGACTTCAGTAAACTACCCGACCGAATAATGAATAATGTATCCCCGGAATTCGAACCTAGTGCTTTTTGCGCTTAAGCTTGCGCTGAAAATGAGCGGCCTTGGCGCCAAAATATTTTTCAAATTTATCTTTAGAGTTCTTCAATGAATAAATATTGTGAAATAAAAACATTGAATCACTAAAACTCTGAAAAATGATTTCTAGTCGGAATTTGAAACTAATCAGAAATGTTTTCCTACTGTTTAAAAAACTTGTAAATAAGCCACTTTAACGGTTTAACGTAGAAGTTCTGGGCGGGCGCCCTCCCTTAAATCCGGCCCTAGCATCTATGGATGAGACCTCAGCAAAAATTGCCAAAGATAACCGACGGACCAAAAACAATTCGGTCCGTTTTCCTTACGACCGCAATGTTATGAGTTCCGGTATTTCTTTGGATTTAGTAGAACGAGCTCTTTTGTGTCTGAGCCGTTGTCACGTCCGTATATTACGGCAGTCGGGAATACTATTTATTTATATTAGAATTGTCGTGCCCCGAACATTGGCGAACGGTTATAAATTTAGATAATCGTCATATTTATGGGACCCCACAATATTTGTACGACTTTAGTTACGCTGTGAATTTACTAAACTCATTTTCAACACATGTTCAACTTAGAAGCCTAGTTTCAAGTTAACGCGAGTAATAGTGAAAGGCACTTCAATCAATCAATGATTTATTATTTTTATAAAGTTGAGATTGCTGCTGAAAACTTTATCAGTTTAGTAGGACACATTTAAAGAAAACAACTTAAACGGTTTAAAATGCGAATTATATTGGTTAAACTATTTTAACTACGACCGAACGTTTTGGATGCTTTGCACCAGCCGTGGTCAGCACCAGTCGGGGTTTAAATAAGTTTAACTTTTTAAACCGTTACAGTGTCTTATTTAAATGTGTAGGTACTATGTGCGTAAACTACAGACGATATTTAGTCCCCATGAAGTTTCGTTTAAATAGTTTTATTTAATGTCTTACAGGTAGAACTAATTGTTAGAGTAAATGTTTATTTTACTTAGTTATATTCAATGCGTGAGGAATCATTAAACGGTTAATTACAACTTGATTCAGTAATTTTTGGGTTAAAAAAACGCTGTCAAATACAGTACGGATCTTACTAAGACTTTAATAAAATTTCAAATAAAAATAAGGTTTGAGAAACATTATATCTAGTGAGAGACTTTGATTTCAATATTAAAGTAGGAAGTGAAAAGATGCTGCAAAATATAAATGGAGTACAATTGCATGGTCACAGAGGGCGCTGTAAAAAACGCTGATATTTCTAGACAATTTTAGCTAATCTCGTTCCCACCAACCATATTAACCTTACCTTTTATTAGATAAAAATAGTAGATAATAGCAGTGTAGTCAGCAAAAATTCTTATTTGCTATTGACATATCAAATAAGCGGGTTGTACCAGCAAGGTATATGTAAACAAAAAAGAAACAATATTGTATTGTAAAACTTTATTAATAGAAATAAACGTTAAAAAATATCATACCTTTAATTTCTCTAACATCTAAATACAACACATCAAAATTTAAAAATAATTCTAAATCTAAAGGAAAATTTGTATTGCCCGTGGCTTCATACGAAAGTTTCATTAAAACAATAATAAAAAAGGTCGAGAAAACAAATGAATTTAATTAACTCTAATAAGGGTTAGAGTAAGAAATTCATACATTTTTTATTTACGATGAATATGCAATTACGAAAATCCTCTTCTACAAAGACTACCAAGATCCTAACTAGAATTTTGTTCTTTTGTATAAATAATATTGATGGAATAAATACTATAACCATTTATCATCAGGTAAACAATGATATTACACCTACGATATTGTACTTTTCACTTTTCGTACTTAATAAGCAAGTGCATACAAACAAAAACCAAAATCTAAGTGCGAAGTCGTTGCTAATAACAGATGGCGCTATATGCCATGTATTGCACAGACCAACTTATTGGGTTATGATATTTAACAACATTAGCATAAGGCACAATATAATGTTTTGTGTGATGTACGTGGCTTTTAAAGGCAAAACAAACCATGCGTATAACGTTGTTAAGTTATTATGATTTACAGTAAACGAATATAAAAGACTAGAAGAAATACAATAGTTGTTGCGCCGTAAATAATCTATGTCTAGTTTATAATAAGTTATTGACACTCGTAAAAGTTAATCTGAGATAATATTCATAGTTTGCTGTATAGAGAATATTAAAATTGTAGTTCTCAAAAACAATATATAAACCTGTTAAGTGGGCAGAATGTATTTCTTGGATTTTCTTGAAAATACCTTATCATGTCAGAAGTTGCTTAACAATAAAAAATTCCATGTCTGCTTAGCAGATAATTAAATTAGATTCTAGCAAACTTATTATGTAGCAGTCAAGTTACTGGCATATATCTGGCAACCAACAAAACGAAATGTGTGGTAGCTGCTTTGGAAAATGTATCTAGTTATAATAACTTTTTTACAGTTCTGTGTCGAATCTTAAATTATATCACAATGTATAACCAACTGTCTTTAATTTCGAACTAATACTCTCAAATTCCTACATTCATTTTTATGTTTTTTTCCCTCAAAAAATTCAATTAAAATTACACATGCCAACTTACTGAGTTCCAAAACATTTTAAGTACAACACTATGCTTTATCTGTGGATATAGAATTTAATTTCATATATTTACATATCAGTTGTCGCCACATATATTGAGAATTACTTATTTAATTTGTAGAAATACTTAAAGTTCTTAGTATATAATTTTACTCGGCGGCGCAGTGCTATTTGTGCTCATAGCTTGTTCTAGAGTGTCCAACCGCCGGTACGCGTGTCCTCGACTGTTTCGCCTGCGATTTGTCTGTCTACCCTCCACTATTATACCCAGAATCTGAAACAAATAATTACTTAAGCATATTACTTAAGCTTTGAAAAAACGTATACAAGGGCGTTTTGTTAACTGTTTTCTCAATAGGAATATTTTTCTTTGACATAACTAATATTTTATACAATTAAACCGGGCATAACTTCCCTCATGGCATATATTTCAAGAATGATAAATCCAATCATTGTCTAGGTATAATAGATGAAAATATATAATAAATTATGAGCTTTACATGCCACATTTCGCATATATTATGGTGTTAGCTTTATTTAAAAATGTGCTGATCAATTTTTAGATGTAAACTGACGCTAAATTGTATCACATTTGATACAGTCTGACTGTGTGGCGAAAGTTGTCGTAAATGTTTACCGACCCACATTTCAAATGTTTTTTTACTGAAGATATAAGTAGCTCTTTAGATAAAATGAAGTTTAAACAATAGTAAATAAAATTGTACCAAATTCTATGGATTTGGCTCAAGTGAATATAAATATTAACTCATTGTTTTTCACTGAAATTTCATTGTTCATTACACACTTAACCTAAATAATACTGCATTGTCTATTTAAGGCCATTGCGTATGCCAATTGCTATAATACATTTTGTTATGACAGAGATACTTCTCTGGGAAATCCTTACTGTCTGTCTGTTACTCTTTCACGCCAAAACTACTGAACGGATTTGAATGAAATTTAGTGTACAGATGGTCTAGACCCTGAGAAAGAACTTAGGCTTTATTGCGAAAAAGGGGTTGTAGGGGGTTAAAAGGGGGGTGAATGATTGTATGGAAATTCGTGGTTTTTGAAGCTAGAACAATGAAACTTTCTTCTTTGGATTTTTGGAAGTAGGAGTGGGGGTGGGGATGGGAGTGGAGGTGGGAGCGAGAGTGAGAGTTAGAGTAGGAGTGATGTGAGGTGAGTGTTACGGCAAAGTAGCACTTACAACATAGATTGGCTGCGATAAATGCGCAATTACATTAATTAATAAACAGTCTAAATAATTAAAAATTCTACCCCAAGTCACTATTCCACGCGAACGAAGTCGCGGGCACAGACAGAATCTTATAAACGTTATACTTCAAAATATTTCATTTGGATACTTGGAGATTCATAAACTGAATTGGAGATTTACACTGCATGGCAATTCCATTTGTGAATAGTGGTACAGGATGGAATTTCGATTTCTACCACCATACAATATCCAGTTGCAGCCTTACTTGTTTCGGAACCTTACACTGGTTAAGACAATCATTGCTACATTAAAAAAAAAACACTAACGGTTTAAAACGCGATATATTAGTTAAACTTATTTGAAAATGATTTCTGACTTCGGCCCGACGTTTCGACGATGTTTTAAACCGTATAATATAGACAGTATTTAACATTGCTACAGTAAGACCCATGAACCTGTCATAACATGATCACACTGTACTGAACTTCAAACGGTGGACATGTTCTTTATAAAGACTTTCTGATAACACAGATTACAATCTAAAATAATTAATAATAATAGATAATAGTTGCTTACCAATTTAGTAACCTTGCTTTTGTTGTGATAAAGAATATATAATAGAACAACAAACACAATTGTCGTTAAGAAGAAAGGGAAGAAGTGGTCATCATCATCGGCAAATGTATCCTGGATCGAGTTAGGGTATATGATTTCTGTAATAAATTATTTGAATGTTATTTGCCATTGTTTTTTAACTGTAACAGAGATGAAAGATTAGAACTGATAATAAATTGATGAAGATAAAATCTTACTTATATATAATCTTATTAATTTAAATAAAATAACTTTTTAATTATGATCATGAGATAAGATTTTTTTGATGTGAATACCTGATAACAACAATTTAAGAAAAATATCAAGGAGAATTACTAATATACAGAGCTTAACTTTTAAATGGGGATAGAACTAGGCAATATAAAAAACCATCTCACTCTAAACATAATACATAATAAAATACTGTCTATAGTTTACACAAGTAGTACACATTTAAATAAAACATTTTAACGGTTTAAAACGCGATATATAAGTTAAACTTATTTAAAAATGATTTTTAACTTCGGCCCAACGTTTTGGATGCTTTGCAACAGCTGTGGTCACGGGGAGTCTCCCCGTTAAAGTGTTTTATTTAAATTATACATTATATTTTCTTTGTTTATCAATATATTACTAAGTGATTAAATTTAACCAGTGTTAAATTTATGTGGTTAAATTTAAGTGTAGGTTTGTACCTACACTTAAATACCCACTCTTAAGTTTGTACTTAAGAGTGGGTATTAAGCTAATAATGGTAATAGGATTGAATAGAATATCATAAAGCAATATTTTTACCTCTTTGAGGAGTATCCACATTAAACGAAGTAAGAGGCAGCTTGTTGATATTAGAATTTTCTTTTAAAGGTTCCTTGTCAATTTTAGGATCGGCATCAAGAAGGCCATTGGCGTCATTCAAGTTATCTTGGTCAGATAATGGCTCATCATCTGGATCTAAAATGTAATTAGGTATATAAAATACATGTTGTAGGACTGAAGCTATTCATTTCACTAATTTAATTTATCTAAGTACTACACACAACTATTAGAATTTTTATGTAATATTTCTCAGGTTGTGTACACAACATATTTGAACCCCAAATTTCTTAAACTGAATATAATTTGAGCCCAAAAATAAATCATTTAAGACAAAATCACATAAGAGATGCTAGAATTTGAAGATTGGCATACCAAGATCATTCCCAAATTCAGTATCAGGGTCATCATCCAGCTCTGGATCAAGTTTCTGTTTTGTGTTTTCCACTGGAGGTTTCAGATCATTTTGTTTTGACTCTTTAACATCTTCCTTTAGAGTTGGCTGCTCTTCTACAGGCACTATTGGTTCACTCTTAGAAGTCAATGTATTTGGTTGAACTTTTTCTCCAATGTTTACGGGTTTTATAACATCCGTTTCTTGTGTTGATAAAGATACCTTTGGAAGAGTTTTTCTTGTTGTTTCTTGCAAATTGTCAACCTTCGCAGTCTCCACTTTAGCAGATGTGGCCGGCTGGTCTTTGTGTTGTAGATCTGCATTTGAGTTTTGTGAAGGCACTACATTACTGGTTGCTGTAGATATGTCTGAGGTTGCTATAGGTTTTTCAGCATTTGTATTCTGAACCTTGTTAACAGGGTTGACAAATTGTGATAGTATTCCCGAACCCCATTTGAAATATTTGCAGAAAAAGTTTGCATCTTCACTAAGGAGATCATCTACAGTGCACACTTTTACACAAGCTGCTCTAGTTGAAAATATTTTGTCCAAGACTGTTTTGTATTTTGGTGTTGCAGACTTCCAAGATTTTGCATCATTACATAAAGTCATGACATCTTGAGTTCCGTTCATATACTTAGTAAAACTCTGTTGTAGGTCAATAGTTGATCGACCGAGAGCGGCACACAACTGGTAGTTTATTTCGTAAAACATAATACATTCGAGATCGGTTTGTTTATACTTCGGCACTGATATATTGCAATATTGTAGTTTACTTCTAACTGATTCGGCCAGAAACACGTTTTCACAACTATTACTTAAACTCATCAACTCATTTGATAATGTACCTTGTATTAGACTCGTATTGTCTTGTACAGGTAATCCCAAGACAAGAAGTAAAAAGTTAAGTGAAACTAAAACAACACTGTATCTAAGCATTTTGATTGAATGCTTAGTTTACACTTCGATTAAATATAGGTTTAGCGAAAAATAAAGTAAACCAATACTATTATTTTACCTGCATACGGGTCACAGTTCGCATCACATCCTCATTGAATGTCAACAAATGTCAATAGAAATCAACTGTCACTGAATGACATACGTCATACTCATATGACAATAAACACAATATTACTGACAATACACTTTACAAAGTAATAGGTTATAGCATAAAAATAGAGGACAATACAATTCGATAACAATATATATTTTATATTCGATAATTTCGAATAACAAACTAAAGTCACGAGAGGAGTTATTCTTGTAAGTATTTAAACGTAACTTATCTATACTTTCTAAAAGACGAATGTGTTAAAGTGAAATAATTATTATCAGTTAAAATATGTTTATTCAAAGAAGAACGATAATAAAATCGATAAATGATTTTTTTTGAACGACACTGGTTTGTTTATTAATTATAAGTTGTCTTGACAAAATTATCTTTTAGCTATTAATCTTAATTTTATTTTAATATTTATTGTAATAATTCTATTACTTCGTGTTGCTTCGTTTTTTCACTCACTTGTACTTTTCAACAATGCGTAGAAACTATAAGAACTTTTAACAACCTGAAATCATATAAATATTAATATTTAATTCACATGAAATTAATATTAAACAGCATGACTACAAATAAAACATTTAACGTTTTTTAAATCCTCTTGTTCAATTCAATTCAAAACAAAGTTACTGTGTTCAGAATTGTTTGTGCGTATTGATGTTGTACAAAATTAATTAACAGATTGATTTGTGTACATAGACATTGTAAGTACAATGACTTACTTACAGACACAAACGTTCTATTAGAAAGTGGTATAATATGACCAGCCATTACATACATTGGCCGTTTAATTCTCTCCATAAAAACAATTAAAATTCTACGACTTTTCACGTGGACGTTGACCCAATTCATGGCATACGCTGCGTCTTTTATATTTGTGCTCTAGAATAATTAATATTAAAATTAAAATTAAGAAATTCTTTTTAATTTCCTGTACGATCTCCTGATTTAGAACTTCTGTATCCTTAAGGTTGGTAAAAGATTTCGTAGCAAAACGTGCCATACTTTTACCTCATGAGTAACTTCGCTTCCATTATAACAGTAAATAAACATTTCAAATAAGATGCAGACTATATACGTAACCATAGACACACATTCGACGTAGGCGACTTCAATCTGTGATTAAAGAACAAATTCTTAAAAAAAATCATTAATTCTACTATTTGTCATAAAATATAATTTAAACCAACAAAGTTCAAACAAACAAACAAACTTTTCAGCTTTAAACCGAGAAACAACCAAGGAATGTAAAAAAAACGGGGAAATTATTCATCCTTGTGGGTTTTCATTGCGTACGCGACGAAATCGATTCAAAAAATATGTATGAAATAATTATTCTTCTTTATACATTAGAAAGTGGCCGCGACAGTAAATGTCTCAAAAACAACGGGACGCGGACGACTTCGCGGGCAAGAGCTTTTTTAAGAGAAATTTTGATGACTGAAATAAGTATGCCAAATCCGTAATTAATGGTAGAATCTACGGCTATTACACTCACCTCAACTAGTCTGTAAACCGATATGCAGATTATCCAACCACTAATCAAGAAGTGATAAGCCAGAACACTTCCAAATATATTTTCTATGTTCTTAGCGAATCTGTGTAAATAAGTAAAATATATTTTTATAGAACTAGCGACCCGCTCCGGCAAATACACAACAGTAAAACTGTGAACGTTGTATATAAAAACCTGCCTCTTGAATCACTCTATTTAAAAAGAACTGCATCAACATCCGTTGTGTAGTTTTAAAGTTTTAAGCGTACATAGGGACAGAAAAAGCTTTGTTTTATACTATGTAGTGATAAGTAACAGTTTGTAACGCAAAACATATTAGTAAATATATTTTTAACTATAACATTTTGGATGCTTCACAGCAGTCAACTCGTGGTCACGGCCCATATTTTTTTTTCTACTCATGTAAACTAATACAAAACTTTAACAATACTTTCTTTAGATTGATTAAAATATTTACTATGTAGGTACATACTTCACAATTTCTTCATGATGTCTTACAACACGTTTAAGCTGATCTTCGAAAACAAATTCTGAACAAGTAGCACTCCGTTTCGTTTTGTTTTTAATATTGGAAAGGTTATAGCTTAAAAAAATATAAAAAAATTACAACTTTATTCATAACATTTGACGATGACAAAATTCAGGATAATAATGATATCCTTTGTAGCTTAATGGTTATACGCGTTGCTTAGCATTTTTTTAAGCACGAGATGTCCTAGGTTTGAATTTTAAGGAAACAGTAGATTGTTTCGGTCGGACAGGTAAGAGAAGTCTAATCAATACTTACCTGTAAGTAAAACCGAGCAGTAAAACGGACAGGATTATGTTGTTGATGAGCTCGTTGGTATAGTGGTAACAGTGTATGTCTAATAATCAAGTGGTAGTGGATTCGATCCCGACCGGGTCCAACATTTTTAAATTAATTTATAATTTAAATAAAACACTTTAACGGTTTAAAACACGATATATAAGTTAAACTTATTTGGGAATGATTTTTAACTTCGGCCCGACATTTCGGATGCTTTGCAGCAGCCGTGGTCACGTAGAAACGTTAACTAATATATCGCGTTTTAAACCGTTAAAGTGTTTTATTTAAACATGTACTACTCGCGTAAACTACAGACAGTATTTTGAATTTATAATTTTTATAAAACATCTTGGACTTCGTCTGGTAATCTGAATATTATATTGGTGGTAAGACATCGAAATTCCGTTCAGGTAATGATCCACAGATAACACAATCAATCGTGTCCGTTTCAGACTGTGAAATTTAGAATATCCATAGTCAAAATAGATATATAGAGATATAGATAGTTTAGATGTTTTATGGTCAAGCAAACCTCATGCTTCTCTGTCCGCCTCTATCATGAATAAATCACTTTTTGTGTCTTGGATTTTTTATCTTACCTAAGGATTTGAAGCTGCGTCTTTGTTTGGACGAGTAGAGTTGAAATCAATACAATCATAGTGGTATTACTAAATGCCAACCAGGTCGTCGTTATCCAAGTGTAGAACGCAGTTACGTAGAAACTGAATTTCAGTAAATTAATAAGGTATCTTTTCAATTTATTATACATTATCAACTAAACGGTACAACGTAACTTATAAACGACATACAGTTGTAATTTCCACGACAATGATGTTTTTAATTAACCAGTCTTAAAAAAAAAACAACACTAGACAGTACAAATTTCTTGTAAAATATACATACTATTTCTTTTTAAATATAAACTATTAAATTCCGTCCGGGTCACGAACCACCTTCCACAGATGAAAAAGCCGTGAAGTTTAATAGCGTTTCGGTTTCAGTCTGTGGTTATCCGAATATCTTAAGTCAAAATAGATAGCGCATTTTTCCGAGATGTTATATGTACTTTAACTTCCATGGATCGCGTAAGAGTCGATCACAAAACACAACTTTAATATATTGTAAAATTTGTTTAAAGTCGATGAAAGGCCTCCAAATAATTACAAATTCCAAATAGATAGATATAATCTTTTACTCACAGTGGATCCTCGTTTTCATCATAAGGTAACCAAATGCTAAATTCTAATGAAATTCCACTTAAATGTAGGTAGATTGGATAGACGAACCACAAAAAACATGTAGCTACCGCCAAACCATTATAACTGAATAGCAACATTTTTGCCTGACGAGCCGTTTTCAATAGATAAGCGGCGTGCCCCATTTCACCTTGATTAAAAGTTGGACCTAGAGTGCGGATAAACGTTATAATTTAATAAATTATGAAACAATGCCTATGCGCAGCCATCGTAATATAAAATTGCCAGTTTGATTCTTGTATGTATAATATATTGTTAAATGAAGACAACATAATAGTATTATTAATGTACAATCAGATTTTCTTTATACAGCTACTTTAAATTTTTTTTTACACCATCATCGTAAAGTGAGTTGAAAATAAATACACTAGAAAACATTAAACTTATTTACCTTTCATTACTTCAAGAAAACTTTCAATGTCTTTTTCCCGAAACCACATGAGAATTTGCTTATATATGGCGTCCGTATGTGTCAGAAATAAAAACATAGTTCCCATTACTTGACCCATGTTTTTGCGAGTCTGAAAACTTACGAGGTAAATTAGTTTTGAAAGATAATCTACAAATATTTGACCAGGAAATAGTTTCCCCTTTTATGGCACGTCGACATCGTGGCATTATATAAATTAAAAAATATTTTCAATTTTTATTGCGAAAATCGTTGACACGGTAGTTCAACGGTTTCAGCAGCGGCATTGACCGCTGTGAATGCCAGTTTAAGTCCCGTCAGATTTAAATTTTCTAATTTTTCAATCCAAATTGAATTTTTATTTATATAGGACGAATTGTTACTCATAGGATAGTTATTTGTTAGTACTAATTAAAGCACTGAATTATAAATAAAAATTTTGATTCATAATTAATCTTATATTTATGGGTTTAGTTTTAGTTTTATTGTGAAGCTGAGTAGGTGGGCGTGACAAGAATGTGACCTAGTAGCTTAAGTACTAGAGGTAGCTGAAGTCGGGTGTATGATCATCGTTCGTGTACAAAAAATGTGAGTGTAAATGCTGTTGCTTGTTCTCTAGCGAAGGGAGACATTGTGAGGCATCTGCCTTACTTAGCATCAGAAATTATCGACGTGTATTCGCTTAGCGTAGTAGATGGAGGCTTATATTAAGGATGGGAATAATGCTTGGGAAACCCGTGCCCAGTTATGGAAATTGTACCTCATAAACTTTCAACGCTTGTTGTGTCGTATACAGTAACATTAATATCAAAACAAAGCCCATATAAAACCGATGAACAATTCTGCTTAATTTACGACAACCCGAATCGATTTGATAATATCCCGATAGG